AAATATGTAAAAGATGAAGGAAAAATTAAAAGATGTTACCATGTATCGATAGTTGGTTGGAAGATTTATCTATCTTACATTAAGTCGAACGAACATAACTTATGTCGTTGGAGTGGCTAGTCGATACATGAGCAATTCGAAGAAGCCTCATCTTAACGTAGTACGACACATCATGAGGTATGTTAAAGACACTGCTAATTTTGGAATCTTATACAAGAAAACAAATGAATATTATGCGGTTGAATATTGTGATGGCTAGATATTATGCTACCCAACGGTCGACAACGGGGTATGTATTCAGTATTGGATTAGGAGCAATATCATGGTGTAGTAAGAGACAACCAACAATATCATTATAAAATACCGAAGCAGAATACTGGTCGACAACATCAATGATACAAGAAAGTACTTGATTGAAACAACTATTATAAGATTTTCATTAGCCAACAAATTATCAAGGCTTTTGTGCGATAATTTATCACTCACACGTCTAGTAGAAAATTCAGTTTTTCATGAAATGATAAAACATATAGAAGTGCACTATGACTATATTCGCGAAAATGTCCTTGAACGGAAGATAAAGATGAAGCCAAGAAAGTCAAATGAACAAGTTGTAAATATATTCACAAAGAGTCTAAGTAGATCAAAATTTGAGAAGTTCAGAGAAGCACTCAGAATGATACGCAAATCATCAATGAAAAGAAAGTTGCATTGAGATAGAGTGTTAAAAGCCAATGCAACCTCTAGATAAATCTATAATTATCCTTTAGTATATATATCTTGAGAATATTCTAGAATAATATAAAAATAGTAAATATAGAATAATATTTAATATTATGTCTAGAACTATCTATAAAATAATCCAAATATTTAAAAGGTTCATATGTCTTAGATGTTAACATATGTCAACAATCCAATGACTATTAAAATCTATAAATATGGGTAAGATTTATCATTATTATAGAGTGAATAAGAGTGAAACAACAATAAAAAAAAAGTTAGAGAAAGAAAGTTTATAAGTAAAGAAAAAATAATAATGAGGTAAATATGTAATATTATAATTGTATGATGCATTAATAAAAGTACTATTCAACTATTTAAGAATATTCTCTACTTATAATAGCTAATTATTAATATATTTCTCGCTATCAAAATGCTACTTTGTATTGAAATAATGAGAGCAAAAATAGTGATGTTAATAGTAGCTAACTATTAATATGTTATTTTAATGGTATAAATTTTTAGAATTTTAGAATTTATTATATTTGAATTTAGCTACTCAACATAAGGAATAAATTAAAAATAACTACGTCATTGAAGTTTTTGATTTTATCTAAAAAATTATGATCGCTTCCTTTAACATTCTTCTCTAAGATAAAATAAAGTAAAAAATTACAAAAATCAATTTTGAAACTATGAACTTTGGATAAAAAACATCTCGAACATATCAAAAGTCAACAAATAAATAAAATTCCTCATGTAATATCCAAATTATGATTACTTCAAAAATCTAAACTTGTGCAACAAATATTTAAGAAATAATGAAAAAACTCAAAATTCCATAATTTTCACAAACTTAAACAAAAAAAAAAACATTCTTAATCACCAAACATATTAATTTCAAACTTTGTCACAATTACAAACATGTAAACTCAAGATCTACTAATTAAAAACTCACAAAAATTACGCATCACTTGTATAATAAAAAATGTTTGGGTTAGTCAATTTTGATATGTTTGTAATGTCATAAAAATAAAAAAAACAAAGGTCGAAATCACCTCTTACCAACACTTATGAATCAATGTTTGTAAACTTGTTTTTGATGTCCATATCTCAAAAACATTCATGAAATTACGTTAGACCTTAATTATATGTAGATTGTTTTATAGTACGTTTGTATCACAAATAAAAGAAACGAAAATTTTTATCTTAAAATAATTAATTGAATGAATTAACTTGATTAAAGTTTATTTTTTTCACATCAATTTTACCATAAAAATATTAATAAATAATAATGTGAATTTAACAATTTAAATTAGGATGATAAAACTTTGAATCCGAATTAATCAACAAAAATGACAACATCTAGTAGAATTTGAAAATCTTACGCATATGCATCCACATAATTATTGAAATGCGTTTGATTTTATTATATCACGAATAAGAATTATATTAAGGGGCGGATGCACTAAGTTCCCTAGGGGGCCGAGTGCATCTTTTATTTTGAAAAAAATGAATAAATTTAGTATGATGTGTTAAGAAAAAACTAAAAAAAATTGCACACCCATTATTTTAAAGAAAATAATATTAAAATTTTAGACATTATTCTTAGATTTTTGGATTCACCATCATAATATACGATGACAATATTCTTCATGAACCATAAAACGAGACAAAACATGTGGGCGCAAAAGCCTTTCCCTTATAAACATAGTCTCCAAGTCCGTTGGGGCTTCATTCTGCAGAATGACATCTTCTTTGGGTGGAAAATATTTGGCATCCATTACCGAAACATTTCAACAGAGAAGTAAATTGTACTAAGCACCTTTGTGCAAATGAAACTCAAAGCAATATACCATTTGCCTCAAAGAGAGAACAATGGATGATGAATGATATTATTACCAACTGAAATAGGAAGTCATGGGATACTTCTTGGAAGAGAAAGGTTTTCTGCACTACTTGGAGGAAGAGATGCTGCGCAATGCTCGACCGAATGGCTTTCGGTAAACTATTTAAGGTCCCTTTCTGCTTCAATCCTTCTGTTTTGTATCTTAAGCATATGTTTGAGTGGCAACATTTGATCTTGTATGCGGGGTGACAATTGATTTTGTGCGTCGAATTCTAAGTCGGCTCTAATTGTATCCCTCTGTAACATAAAAAAAAGGTTCCTTGTCCAAAATAAGTACCTATGAATTGCATGTCATGGTCAAATCAACTCCTACAAAAGACTGAGCATTTATGCTTGATTCATGATGTCATTCCTTTAAGCTAGTTTCTTTACCTTGAATTTATCATACAAATTTGCCTTGAAATAATGAACATTTCTACAGCAAATGGTGGGGTTTACTTCTAGTTTTGTTTATTATCACACTTTCTTATGGTACGTTTAGAATATATTTTATATACCTAGTTCTCCTAGTCTTGGGAGGTTAATGATTAGTTCTAACAGCTTGAAAGTTGTAACGCCATCTTACAAAATTGCGGGTCAGGGTTGTCCAGTGAACTACCAGGTTAGTCGTGTTCCCGATGAGGTAAGTTGTTAATCCCAAATTAAAGAACATGTAAAAACCACGTAAAAGATATCAAAATCATCTCTCTTGGATTCTCAGCATGCAAGTCCCCATAACAGGTGTTAGAGTTCTTCACTCCCCCAGATTCGGAGACTGTTTATAACGAAAAGGGCTAATTAATTTACTAATTTTCCATTGAACCCAAGCTTGTTTCTTTTCTTACCTTTCCTCTTTAATTTATGGGTAAAATAGACAAAAATAGGATATGTTTTGGATCTGAAACTTAGACGGAAGATGAATGCGGTCAAGGAGAAGGAGAAAGAGTGTGGAGAGTGTGCAGTGAAGGAGATACCAAAACGTAGTTAATAGGGATCGGTCGACGGGTGAGGTGAATGGCCAACGAGTGAGGTAAACAGTTAACGGGTCATGTAAGCATCTAACAGTCCAGCTCAGCTTTCCTCGTCCAAATTAAGAACGGTTAACGTCGAGTTACCATTTTGTTTCAAATTGATAACGTTAGCGATCAATTTATAATTATAAAAGTTCAGTAAAGAAAACGAAAACTTGTAGTTCACCCATAGAACAATACCCTTAGGGTGCGTTTGGTTCACGGAATGTAAGATTACCAATGGAAATAAAAGATTACCAGAGAATAGTATTATTGAAAATATTGTATTTTGTGTTTGGTTTGTTTAACAGGAATGTAACATTACCGTGTTTAGTTAAAGGAATAAAAGATTATTGGAATGTATATTTTACCAAATTATCCTTATTATATATTTGTTTTTTAATAAGTTGAATTCTACTATAATATTACTATAATTAATTTATATATTTTCTTTAAAAATTTTAACTTCATAAAATTTATATATATATATTTTTTTACAAAATTAAAAAGATAAATAGGTTTAATAAAAGAGTAAAATTTTATTTTAACCTCTGAACTTTATATAAAATTCTAATTATAGACTTTCCTTGTAAATTTAAAATAATTTAAAGATAAATTTGTAATTAAATCTTCGTAGAATTTTTATTATTCAACGACAGAAGAATTGTATTTTAGAAGAAAAAATATTTAAAAGCATTTTAGTTCAAAACGCCGGTAATCAAACAATACCTAAGGGAAGGAAGATAATGACATTCTCGGTAATATACCCAAAAAAATCTACTGTTGGTAATAAAAGATTACTGGGGCTGGGAATGTTGGCCAACCAAACGGGGGAATGAGATTCCATTCCCCCGGTAATCTCATATTACCTGAACCAAACACCCCGTTAGAACAACTCCTGAGATAAAATGCCATGCATTATATATATGCCTCTACTGGTTTTCACCCATTCAGACTCTCAAATCCAATGAAGGATTTCTCACCAGCAATGAAAATGAAGCGGAAGAGGGGATTTGAAAAAAAAAAAAGTAAACAATTTTATTTTTATAGGGAATCAGAAATGCATACTATAATATTCATAAGCAGCCCTATCAATACAGAAGTTGAGAAACAGATTTCAAAGGCAGACTGTTCTTCAATAATAATTATTCTCAAATTAAAGCCTTCATGTTGAAATCAGGAATAAACAGAAGCAAAGGCCAGTAGGACAACTTCCCATTATCTCAGTGTAAATGATATCTGTTTAACAAGGTCAAGATAGGATCCAAGCTGTTCAACCAACAAATGCATTGGACTTCTACCTGTCTCTACCCACATCTACATTAATGATCATGCCCCAATTGGTGAAGTATCACATTTATGCACAAAAATGAGAAATTGAATGCACAATTAAAATTTGCAGAATCCATCACATGATTAAGTAATTCAAACAAACAATAAAACAAGTAGAACAGTGGCTGCAGGTAGATTGCCTTCTAGTCAAGTAAACCCAAAAGATAACATAAACAACTCAATTGAATTAACTGCAAATAAACAACAGATTTCTGATAATAAATACATGTAAGAAAGATAGAACAACATAAATTATGGCGAAGAAACTTACGAATTGAACTTTTTAGGCCTAAGATAAATCTATATGCGAGGTTAGTACCTCAGCAACCACTAAATGACCCTACTAGCCACAAAACTTTCGACTTCATTCACTTCTTCTGCTGCGTTGGTGCACATAACGACTCATCAAAGCTTCTTTCTCTTTCGACAGGAACTAAATACGAACAATGCTTCATTCCTTCACCAAAAGTGTTGTTATTTACAACAAAGTAAAATCATACAACATACAAACATCCCTTTCCCTTGAAGAAAACTGCAGCTAATGTAGTATCAGATTAAATGCGAAAGAAAGGTTAACATAACAACGGACAAAAGATACATTCAACCATCGTTCAATCCTCAAAATCCCATCGGCTATCCCTTCTCAATGACCTCCCAAACACTGAACTCGATGTACTTCTCCTTGTAAATCCAGAATCTGAGCCTGAACGTGATGAACTTCTAAACCTCCCGAAAAAAGAAACAAAACTCCGAAATACACGTCCTAATCCTCCACTCTCTTGCGACCTTCTCCCACCAGGCGCCCATGAAATCCTCCTCGGAGCACCTGCATTATTGAATCCACCATCCATTTCAGTAAACACAACTGGAAACTCCCTCTCCGCAGCTCTCGTCCCTCCTGTAAATCTCCCCACAGCAAACCCACCTCCCGGCAACCTCCATATGGTTAATCCCACAGCTTCTTCATCTCTAACAGCACCGTTTTCCACCAAGTTATTTCCGTTGTTATCTGTTGGCAATTCATGGCGGCAAACTGGACAAGAGTTTCGAATGGAAAGCCAAGGTAAAATACAATCCATATGGTATATATGCTTACAAGGCATTTCACGAGCTTCCGAGTGGAGTTCGAAAGGCTCTTTACAAACTGCACAGTGATTTTCCAACCTTACATGGCTTCCTAGGATTTTTATCACCGGCATTGATTCAATTGCCGCTTTGGAGGCAGGCGGTTGATCGAGACGACCAACCCCGTTCGCTTCTAATTGAGATAACTGATCAAGAAGCCGATCAAAACCTGACCCCATTAAAAACTCCGACATGCTTGCAGGCAGGGGACGAAGACCCGATCCGGACCCATCATCATAATAAAGCTCAAAATTTCTATTACCTCTATCGGTAACTATACCATCGGCTTCGGAGGTGGGTCCACGGAGGACGACAACAGGATTGAAAGGGGAGCGATCACCAGCGTTTCGACGAGTGCGGCGGAAATGAGGAGTGGCGCTGGGGCTTGGGCTGAGAGCGGGGCTTGGCGTGTCGGAATACATGGCGGCGGCAGGGAAACGGTGGTGGATGGGAGATCGAGAGGGCGTTTCGATCTCTTCGATGAACCCTCCGCCACAGTCGGGGCAGTTGATCGAATCATGGGGAGAACGGACCCGGATCCGAATGAAGCGGTTGCATCTGTAGCACCAATAGGGAGATCTAATCGATTCCATGGAAACAAACCCAAAAAGATTACCAATAAATTAAAACGTGGAAACTGAGAAATCGTAGAAATTTAAAAGAACCCTAGAAATACAAATACATAGGGAGAGGGAGATGGAGAGGGAGAGGGAGAGGGAGCGAGGAACACTCAACGGTATAAGCGAGTGGTTTATACGATTGCAATTACTTTAACGGAATTTTGTTGATTCTCGAGTTGTATAGTTAACGAAGTTAGTGATTTGGAGAGAAGCGGCACCGCTAAGGCGTTGGAATTTGGATGGCGGGGCCACCTGGTTAGCGCTGAATGGGTAGAATTACAAAATCCGTACGCCTAATTGTGGTTTGATGAATTTTAAATATTTCTGATTTTATAAGATTATCAGTAACGTCGCTGGTTATTGTTACAAGAAGCGTAATATACGTGTTGGAGTATTATTGAATTCAAATTGATTTAAAATTTTAAAATTGGATCTGGTTCAGTTAGAAAGTTAAAGGGTTTAAAGTTATCAAGTTTGTTTAAATCTAAAATCAGAAAATCAAATTCTATACGAGTATAAAAAACTTGAATTATTACTGAATTTAAATCAATTGAAGTTCGAATTCAAACTCAAACTTGATCTTAAGTATATAAAAACCTTATACAACAACATATATAGGATAATATCATTAATAATTTAATTTAAAAAAATTAAAAAAAATTAATATATTATCTTTTCAAATTATTTATGCTCTTTTTAAATCAGATATCAAATAGTTAGTTTAGACTATTTAAGAATTGAAGTCAAATTTAAAATTAATTTAAATCCATTCAAATTGAATATTAAACAAATTTTAATCAAATAAAACTCAAATAACTTATAATTTATCCAATCTCATTAATCGATCTAACTATAAGTAGAGGTCACATTCATTCTGAGCCTGTAAACCCAAGCCGACATGGTCCATTTGGGCCGATGTGTGAATCCAATCTGAAAACATAGCATAGGTCTTCAGTCAAGAAATATGGGTAGGCGGTAGCGCTTTCCGCCACTTTCCAAATCTGAATAGAAAAGTCTCGAATCGCCTGGAATTTTTGCTGAATTTCTCTATTTAAAGGGAACTCCGCCAAGTTTTACGGAATCTTTTCTTTAATTTATCTGCAAGAAAATCCAAGGTAGTTTAGTTTGCACAAAGAAACCATGGCTAAAGATGGACCTAACTGGGATGGGTTGCTGAAATGGAGCATTGCAAACTCCGATGGAACTCGTCCTTCTCGTAATTTAAGGTAATTCCATCTATTTTTCCTTGATGACTCTTTTTTCTGATCGTTAATTGATTATTTAGGGGGTAATTATTTGCTTATTTTTGTATGTAGCGAGGAAGACAGAAGATGGTTTATGGAAGCAATGCAATCGCAGACCGTTGATGTGATTCAGCGGATGAAAGAGATAACTTTGGTTATGAAAACTCCAGAAAAAGAATTGGAAGTTCAAGGAGTTACGGCTGCTGATATTGAAGGTACTCTTGGAGAATCCCCAAGTTGTTTTTTGTCTTTAAATTTTTGTTATTGGGTTTCAAGAGCAGCTTTGTTCACATACTTATTTGATTGTGGCAGGTATGTTGGATGAGTTGCAAGAGCATGTTGAGTCTATTGACATGGCCAATGGTAAGTTTTCTATATTATGGAGTGCTTAATTTGAAACAAGATATCTCTAGTGTTAGCTATAGTTTTTGTCTGCATAGGATTATATTGTATGCAAGGAGAATCATTTTTTGTGTTTCCTAGGATTAGTAATTCCTAAGGATGCTATCTATGATTGAATTGATAGTTCCATTTTAATAACCTTGTTGCATCATATAACCTTTCTGTTTCTGGCCCTGATGCCCGTTCCTGCTAAAATTAGTCTTGCACTTGTAATGCTTTCAATTGATCCAAAAATATATGTGCTTATACGGCCTGTGTGCGTTTGAGGCAGATCTTCACTCAATTGGTGGTTTGGTCCCTCTCCTTGGTTATTTGAAGAATTCACATGCCAATGTTCGAGCTAAAGCTGCAGAAGTTGTATCTACCATTGTACAGAATAATCCCCGGAGTCAGCAGTTGGTTATGGAAGCAAATGGCTTAGAGCCTCTCCTTTCCAATTTTCCTCCGACCCTGATGTAACTGTTCGAACCAAAGCACTTTATGCGATATCCTGTGGGTACAACTATTGCTCTTTAGTATACTTTTTAATCAGGGAACATGCTCGTACAGAATCTTGAAAGTATCATGACATGATATCCTTTTTCATTGGATTTCAGCCTTGATTCGCCACAACAAACCTGGTATTGCAGCATTTCGACTTGCAAATGGTTATGCAGCCTTGAGAGATGCTTTGGGAACAGAGAATGTAAGATTTCAAAGGTAATCTTCGGATGTGTTTGTATTATTTTATCTGGTTAGTATCCCGACTTCTGGTTTTCTTATTTAATTGCTTTTTTATTTTCTTGCAGGAAAGCTTTGAACTTGATTCAATACCTACTGCATGAAAATCAATCAGATTGCAACGTTGTAAGTGAGCTAGGGTTTCCCCGTATAATGTTGCATCTTGCCACTAGTGAGGATGCAGAAGTGAGAGAAGCTTCTCTCCGTGGTCTCCTTGAGCTCACCCGGGACAAGACAGGTGGGAATAATGGTGGCCTAGGTGAAGACGATGAGAAGCTGAAGCAAATTCTTGAAGATCGAATTAAGGGTATCAGCTTGATGTCTCCTGAAGACCTAGGTGCTGCAAGGGAGGAGAGGCAGCTTGTGGACTCCCTTTGGAGTACATGTTATAAGGAGCCTTCTTCCCTTAGAGAGGAGGGCCTTTTAGCACTTCCTGGTGAAGATGACCCTCCGCCTGATGTTGCCAGCCAGCATTTTGAGCCTCCTCTCAGAGGTTGGGCGCGTACTGTTGATTCAAACTCCGGTGTGAAAAAGCAGGATGCTCCTCTTCTACTAGGACCGAGCCGTCCGAATTGATGGCTAGTGATCATATCCTGATAAAATTAGCACTAGGTGTGTTTATTTTGGCCTGTGTTTCACTGTTTTTTCCCTCCTATTGCTGACTGCTATATTGAATATATGATTGCCTCTGGATTGGATTAACCGGCACCCACTCTTTGTTTTGCTTTATTTGTTGTAATCAACACGTTATCATGCATGACTATTGCTATAGTAGTGGACTCCGATGGCATCGCAAGCTTGTTTTTCTCTTCCGATTCCCAACAGATCTCTGTGGAAGCGGAATCGATGGAGCACAAGTGGGTGCATTTTCGTTTTCCGTAAATGTGTCATTTGAGCTCTTTGTTGTTTAATCTTTAAAACTACTGCGGAGACAATGACACGTGTTCTTCGTATATAGAGCAATGCCAAGCGCTTAAGTTCTCCGTAAATTGTATTTTTATCATTATATTAATTTAAATTTCATAACTATTAAAAGAGTTAAATTATAAAATTATCATTTTGGGAACTAATATATATGTTTATCCTTATGTTAATCTAAAGTTTTATGAAGGGAATAAAACCCAAATTTCCGTTTCTGACGTTGATACTATGTTTATAATTTATTTTAATTCATTATACGTTTTGTATAATTTACAATAATAATTTTGTTAGAAATTATTTTTTTAACGAGTTTTAAGTTAGAATAGTAATGTTTGAGGTATTTTGGATGAAACAAACACTAAATTTACGTTTTAAAATTAAAAAGAAAAATGAATTAAAAATTTTAGAGTTCAATGACTAGAGATAGTAATCGAATGACAAATAACAATGATTAATACTAATGAACTTTGATCAGATTCACAGATAAAATTAATGCTTTATCTAAAGGTTAAATTCATATCTGTTTAAAGTTTAAGGGTGATATTAGTATTTTATTTAAAGTTTAAGATTTAAATTAAAAATTAAACTATTTTACTAACGCATTATATTATCAAACTAACATCATTTAATATTTTAATAACCAAAACATTATTAATAAATAACGTAATCAAAATATTATTATTTTTAAATCCGGTGACTAAAAATATATATTTATAAAAAGAATGTGATCAATTTGGTAGTTTATTTAATATCAAAATATGATGGCAAAATATATAAATGTAGAGTTAATTGCATTATATATCCTCAAATTATAACTTTTATTATAAATTGATTCTTAAACTTTTGAATATTTTAATTTCATCATGACTCTCATTCTAAACTAGTCTTTAATTTTGAACATTCTAATTTCATCCCTAAACTATGACCCTCTTACTAAATTGATCCTCAAACTTTTGAATATTCGAATTTCATCTCTAAATTCATCCATATATATAATTAGTTCCAACCATAGTTTAACCTAAAATTTGTTTTTTTTTCAAACATATAATAATATAACTTAGCTTAATGATTTTATTAACAAGGGATGTGATTAATATATGCTTATTGTTAGGGATGAAATTGAAATGTTTAAAAAGTTTGGTGACCAATTTAGAATGAAGGTCCTAGTTTTGAGATGAAATTGAAATATTCAAAAATTTGAGGATAATTTAGAATGATATCCATAGTTTAGGGATGAAATCAAAATATTTAAAAGTTTAAGGACTAATTTAAAATGAGGATCATATTTTGAGGATATGTGAAGCAATTAACTCATATGTAATATTTTAGAAACATTGTCATCTTTAGAAAATAAATTAAGTTCGCAACAATTATATAACGTCTGTAACATCTATATTCGTGAAACCGTTTCCCTAATGAACACCACAACCGCAACTTAATACTATGTTATGAAGTTTGTGCTTTTTGGTTAAGCGAGAGTTTCAACCTTTGCTACGTGGGTGTGAGCTTTGCCCTCCATTTTTGTCTTCATGGAGTTCCTCAAATAATCCCCATATTTCACTTTCTTATAAATCAGCTGTTCTGTTTTCGGGTCGATCAGGGGCTCAATCTCAACCTCATCGTGCGGGTATAGGAATGACGCATAAGAGATTCTTGCCCTTTCATCATTTACAACAGCTCTGTGTTCAATACTCTTGTACTTGCCGTTACTCCACATCTGACAAACAAAGCAAGACAATCAAAATTCGACCACCATCACCTATGGAAATACATTTTTTTTCTTTTACCTCAATGACATCGCCGACTTTCACGACTAGAGCATCCGGGATCGTATTAACCGGCACCCAATCGTCGTCGTGCTTAATCTGTAATCCGCACACATCATCGTCCTGCATGAGTATGGTTATAGTGCTAGAGTCTGAATGTGGACTAACACCTAGTACTTGGTCTGGCTTAGAGCAGGGAGGGTAGTAGTTCACTCGGTATGCTTGGATCAACTGTTTGTGCAGTCCAAGCAAGGCTTCCTTTTCCATTCCCATGATCAGAGAAAATGATTCCAACAGCTCTGTTCCGAATTTTCGTATCGCATTCGAATATTCTTCTATGATTTCCCTGTATGAAAGTTCATTTTAGTTGGATTAAAAACATGCAAATACCATGTTTTGGCTAAAGATCATCTGAATACATACTGGAGACCTGTAGGTGACTTGGGCCAAAACTTGAGCTTCCTATAATGAGAAGGGTGAACCGCAAGCATCAGTGCATCCGACCAGTCCAGTATCTGCTCTTCCGAGATGACATATATGTGTCCGTACCCTTGTATGTCATCCGACGGCATCGCGTTCTTGTTCTTCTCTTCTAGCGGAAGCTCGAAAAACTCAGCTGCAACATCCTTCATTTTCTGCAACACTTCCTTTGCAACTCCATGATTTACCACCTGTTAAAGAACACATACTGTTTCATTGTTCACCTTGTGCATATTCTTACATAAATAATACAGTACCTGAAAGAAACCCCAATCTTGGCAAGCAAGATCTAGTTTGTTTAGCTCCTCCTTGTTCCCCAACAATAGCAATGAAAAATCAATGAGGGGAATAAGTGAAGAAAGATGTGACATATCAGTATCTTTAGGTCTATCTTCCATGTCCCTAACGTATCTTTGTGGAACCTGTGAAGGATCCTCCCTCACCAGCTCTTGAACATTAGGTACCGGAATCGATGGAGCATAAGTGGGTGCCTCTTCATTCTCTGTAAATGTTCCATTTGAACTCATTGCTTGCTTTGTTTAAGCTTTGTGGAGACCATGGCACGTGTTCTTCCTATATATAGTGCTTATCCCTCTGGTTTCTTTAGCTGTTAGCTGCAGCGGACATTATCTTTCCCTGAAAGAAAGATACTCCAACTAAAAAATAGAAAATTTTATTTTAACATAATATAATTATTTATGTATTTTATAAAAAAAATGATGTCAATCATAGTGGAACATAGATGGATGGGATGGGATGGGATATTAGTTTAATAGGATTTGTGGCCTATGCAGTTGGATCCCTTTGATAAAACAATGGCCTTGTGTCTGGAATTCTGGATACCGGGCAAAAGTTTACCATTTTAGTAGTTCACATCGAATCGAATTTGGGTTTTTTTTGTCTTTTGAAATTTTATTTTGGGACGGCAGAGGAAAATTATTTATAGTCAGACACTTCAACTTTGGATATTACTATTTTTTTCTTTTTTACTAAAATAGTATTCAAAATATTTCCTATAATAGTACTCATTTCGTCCATGTACGTTGAAGGCGGCATGCCTTTGCGGATGTGGCAGGACATCCGATGGTTTTTCTTATGCTAACGTTACTCAAGGTGAGCATGAAAAATTGAAAAATAACTGGTGAAAAACTATATAAATTTTATCTGAAAAGACAATGCACATGGTACGTGTTAAAGACACAATGCACGCGTGATTATAAGGTGGAAGGGAGTCCAACGATGTGAAAATCCGACCGAACAGAGGCGGGGATGCCTGAGACAGTACCAGCTGAGGTTCTCGTAAACATGAAAGATTAAAGTGATTTTTTTAGAATTTAGATCAAATTGATAAAAACTGTATTTTGGTGGAGAAATTGAAAAACGTTTGGCAGGAACTATTTAGCCCACAATTTTTCTTTATTTGGATGTTGAATAAGGGAGATTCTGTTAACAATAATACCTTTGAACAACACTTGCAGTGAGCAAACCATTGCAGAAATGAGCAGAAACTAAAGCAACAAGGGGCTTACAAACAGAAACAAAGCGACATAAAGTTTCTAATTTTTACTTAGGCTAGAGTTTCAACCTTTGCCATGTTGGTATGTGCTTTGCCCTCCATTTTTCTCTTCATGGAGCTCCTCAAATACTCCCCATATTTCACTTTCTTATAAATCTGCTGTTCTGTTTTCGGGTCTATCATGTGATCTAGGGGCTCAATCTCGACCTCATCGTGCGGAACCAGGAATGTTGCATAAGAGATTCTTGCCTTATTATAATTTGCAACAGCTCTATGTTCGATACTCTTGTACTTGCCATTACTCCATATCTGACGAACAATTTAAAAATATCAAGTCAGCTCAAATTGTCTTTGTTTACAATCAACAATGGAAACATATTTTAGTTACCTCAACGACATCGTCGACGTTCACTACTAAAGCATTTGGGATCGGATTAACCGGCACCCACTCGTCGTCATGCTTAATCTGTAATCCACACACGTCATCGTCCTGCATAAGTATGGCTATGGTGCTGGTGTCGGAATGTGGACTAGCACCTAGTACTTGGTCTGGTTTGGAGCAAGGAGGATAGTAGTTCACTCGGTAACCCTGCACCTATTGTTATGCAGTCTAAGCAGAGCTTCATTGTCCATTCCCATTATCAGAGAAAGGGATCAAAAGAGCTCCATTGCGACTTTTCGGATTACATTCGAATATTCTTCTATGATTTCCCTGTATGAAAGTATATTTCAGTTAACATGACAGAAAAAAAAATGAAATTCCTATGTTTTGGTCAGATCATATGAATCCATACTGGAGCCCTTTTGGTGACTTAGGCCAAAATTTGAGCTTCCTAATTCCTATAATGAGAAGGGTGAACCACAAGTATCAGTGCATCTGACCAGTCCAGTATCTGCTCTTCGGAATATGCCTGCCCGTAGCCTTGTATGTCGTCCGACGGCATCGCATACTTGTTCTTCTCTTCTAGCGGAAGCATGAAAAACGCAGCTGCAGCATCTTTCATTTTCTGCAACACTTCCTTTGCAACTCCATGATTTACCACCTGCAAAGGATCAATCAATTGTAGCTCTCAAAGGCACATTCTTTAGCTATTCCTTATTTGCCTTGATTCTTTCAAAAGCTAACACAGTACCTGAAAGAAACCCCATTCTTGGCAAGCCAAATCCAGTTTTTTTAGCTCCTCCTTATTCCCCATTAACAGCAATGACAAATCAACGACGGGAATAAGTGAAGAAAGATGTGACATATCTGTATCTTTGGGTCTATCTTCTAGTTCCCTAACATATCTTTGTGGAACCTGCAAAGATCCTCCCTCACCAGCTCTTGAACATTAGGCACCGGAATCAATGGAGCATAAGTGGGCGCCTCTTCATTCTCTGTAAATGCTTCATTTGAACTCATGTTTTTCCTGTGTCTAAACTGTTGTGGGAACCATGGCACATGTTCTTCCTATATATAACATTAGACATGAGGGATGCATTGTTTCATCCTAGTTTGAATTAGGAAGTATTGACAGACAATTATGGTACCTTGTTATAATCGCAGTGAATTCACATGTTTGACTTTCCAACAAGTTTTGGGATACATCATCACATAAATGTCAACGGTTATGTTTTCTATTCTTCTTCTCAAAGTAAACGGATCATAGTTTATGTTCAAGTTGCAATTCTTCCCATGTTCGTTGCTTTATCCTCCATATTTCTCTCCAAGTGGAAAAAATTGGGTATAAGATATACACATGCTGCACATAGGGAAAACTGATATTTCCCATCCATGTCATTACTCACAGACCTTCATACTCCTAAGATGAAGAGAAGTTAACTGATCCATCAAGTTTTGAACTAATAACTACGGGTAGAAATCATAAGAAACAAGTGGTATCGACTTTCTGACGCTGCAATGACACCAAGCTTGTTATTTCTTTGCCATTTCTCATTTAGGCGGGCAGAAAGTGATAACATAAAGTGAAGCTCTGCATTTGTTAAGGCTACTAGAGTCATCAAAAGCATAGCTATAGGCCATTGGAAAGGGATAACATAACGTGAAGCTCTGCATTAGTTTTTAGATTCAGAACTTAAGTTATGATGATTGGTTTTTCTTTTAGAGGATGTTATGAAGAATACTCTGAAAAGCTGACATAGAATTCAGGGTTTAACGCATTCCTCCTTGGGCTTTAGAGGTAAAATTTTACTGTTTCAATTTACATTCTGTTTGTTTCTTGTTTGCAGCGGAATCATTTTTTCATGGAGTCCAAGATAATGAAGCTTGGAATGGTGAGATCTTTCAGTTTATCAGTTGGTAATTGACTATAGAAGAAGGTGAGAAAATGAAGACATAGGCAGATGCTGTATGGAGTAACCATCGAATGTCACTAGCTGATGCATTAGACAACTCAGAGCCTTCAAGTAAGGTGCCGGTTATAGATGCTCGAAACAGCCGAGTGCTGTAGATCATCCTGCACCTGTTCGAAAATGGAAATCATTTATGCATCGATAAATAAACACGCGAAACCTCGGCAATAAATTACATTCAGCAGATGGTCTGGTGATGATGATGGTATGCAATAGAAGAGAAGCATATGACCATATCTTGTAGGCTATGGAAACTTGTTAAAAGTTCCATGATTTCAAAAATAGATTGTACAGTCAAAACTGAGAATTTGCAGCTTGAACACAGATGAAACCGAAACATTTCATATGATACTCAAAAAGTGTTACAGATTACAGATATTGGAGTAGATAATGTGTTCACTTTTAATACAACAAAAATGTCTTTACTTGCTCCCAATTAAGCCAATGCTTGCCTCCATGGATTGAATCTTTACAGAGGAATATCAAGACCTTTGCCAACATCTACCCCAATCATCTGAAGTACTCCTTTGTTTAGTATCTGCATAACCCCAAAGCCGTCACAGTTAGAGCACCAACACCATAGTTCTATTGCCAATGGAAGATACAGAAAAAAGCTAGAAACCTCACCAGTTCTACAATGAAAACACCAATTATGCCAATCATACAGGCCCTGGAATTCCATATTTCAGCTGTCCTCGTAAACCCCTGAAACGGTGCTTTGAATTTGGGCCCTACTTTTGGCACTTCAACCTGAAACATTGGTTTTTTATTAACAGATACAAATTTGTTAAGAACAAAAACCCAGCAATATTTGAACATATAAGATAAAAAAATATGAAACAATTAGAACCAAGAAAGTACTCCAGCAGGAAGCTTGGCAGCTAGGACCTTGAAGGATGCTCGGTTCCTGAAGCTTGTTGTGTTGTGATACTGCTGGTTTTGTCGTTGAATCGTTAAGCTATTCGGAAGAAGAAACGATGAGGAAATGAGTGATGAAGTAGCCATTGTTTTCAGTCTGCAACCAAATCCAAAGCCAAAAGCCATCGTGTGGTTTATACGAGCTTTTATCTACTTCAATCTTAAAAGCCAGTGGGTCCGCCTGAACTAGAGCTTGTTTTTGTGGTCGGGTTCCAATCCAAGCAGCCAATTCATTGCGGTTCCAATAAATTATTCGTGGAATGCTACAGAGCACGAAAAGTATTTTTTTTCTTTTTCCTTTTAGTCAATATTTTTAAAATCGGACGAGACATTAAATCGGTGAATGTACTGATTCATTAGTTCAACCGCGGTTGAATCGAATTTTATATAAAATAATTTTTTTTTAATTTTACATAATATTCAAAGCAATATTAATATATATGTAACAATTTTTTAAGTTTACAATATTAAAAGGTATAAAAATATCACAAGTCACAACATATATAAATTAAAAAACATAAAATCAAGTGAAACAAAATGATTCAAATCAACTACAACATAATATTTAAGGTAAAACATATTAAATAATAAATAACTATATAACTATAATAAAAAAAAATTGGGGCTTAAAAAATCATAACAAATGATGTCATTTAATTTAATTTTTTTATAAAAAAACAATCTCACATGGCTAAGAAACATAGAAGAGCATCAAACTTACTTCTATAAATAATAGAGGTAATTTGGCATTCAAAATCATGGAGCCTTTTGGTGAGCACAGAGCGAACTATTCTTTTGCTTCAATTGAGCTCAAATTTTAGGCTTCAATCGAACTTCTAATTTTTTTTTTGAGTTCGAGCCTTTTCGAGTTCAAGTTTTAATATTATATTTCGAGTTCGATTTGAACTTGATAATTTTAGCTCGTGAGTTTTTGAGTCGAGTTGAGCTTACTTTTAAAGTTTTCGAGTTCAAGTCGAGCTCAGCGATACTCGAATTTGACTTGCTCGTTGAACAAACGACGCCGTTTGGTTTAATTTTTTTTTTAAAGAAAAAAGTGAACCGGCGGTTCAAACCGGTTTTGCCGATTTTCAATCGGTTTACCCCGATTTTACCGGTTTTCAGCTGGTTCATTGCCAATCCGATTTTGTGAGGTAACCGAACCGGATAGGCCACCGGTTCACGGTTCAACCGGTTAAACCGGCCTATCCGGTCCGATTTTGATAACCATGCTTTTAGTAATTTCAGATATCTTAGTAATAAAAAATTCAGATTTTTTTATTATTTCTAGGAGAATAGAATTTCAAAGTGAAAATGTCATTAACATTGATGAATGTTTTTAATTCTAAAATTATATTAACTTGTGTATTCTCATAAATAATAAATTTTTTATATGAGGTTGAGATAGAAATCTAATAATGAGATGTTTTATTTTATCATATAAGAATAGAATATCATGAGCTCTATTAACAAGGAAAGATTCATGAATATAAAAAATCTTAGATTACAAAGAAACTTTTTCAATACTAATTCCTATTTCAACTAGATATGAATACGAAAGTGTGAGCACCATATTTTAAAACTCATGCCCCACGTGAAGTTGTCTCCCATATGCTGTCAAGCCTCACCCATGCTCCACTTTCCAACTTGTGCCCATGCCTCCACCTTGGCCAACGAGCTGCTTCAAACACCAACACCCCACTCCACCTGCAAAAAAAACATAAGAAAGTGAGAATATTTTTATTTGGTTGTAATTGGGTATTTAACCCAAGCAAAGAGAATGTAAATGGGATTCGAAATCCTTGCAAACAACACACTGTAAACTCCATTTTCAAGCAATACCAGACTTCAATGGGTATCAATTACTTACTATTTTTTCTATTTAGTTTCATCATTATTCGAATGCATATTTTCCTCTGATCTATTCACTTCAAATCCAATAGTTATTATATTTTCTTTTGGTTCGAATATATAGCACATTTCATGCAGTTTTTATTGTGATACTTTTTTCCAAAAGCCCAGATCTAGAGCATTTCAAATATAACCCTTTTTTCTTTTTTCCGAGTATAATATATATATTTGAAATAATAAATATAAAAATAAATAAATGTTTTTTAAAACTCTAATCAACCAGCTAACCAGCAAAAATGATGAAAATAAGTAAATAGAGAGGAGTTTAGAAGTTACCTAAGAAATGGAGGGGTCTCGTCGGAGTAGGGGGCATGTGAAAGGTCGAGCACTTGTTGAGTAGATCCAAGGTTATTTTTGGGGTTTTTGGTGTGATTCGATTTGAGAGGGTATATCGGAGAGAGATAAACGTTTTGGGTTCGGTTTAAGGGCTCCGACCACCGCGTGTGGTGGTCGGAGCGACGACCGGAATGGGGGCCGGAGAAGGTTGGCCGAGAGAGAAGGGAGAGTTGAGAGAGAGAGTTTCATTTTTTTCTGTTTTAAGGATGAAATAAAAAAAGAGCCAAAAGTGTTATTTATAGCAATAGTTTAGGGGCAAATAGCAACATAAATCCCTGTAGGTTTAGCGCATTTTGCATTATGGTCACTGTAAGGATTAATTTTGATATCTCACCAATTTAGGATGCATGTTTTAATTTTATGGTAAAATTACTCTTCCAGTCTCTTTAATTTAAGCCTGTTTTCACATTTTGATCACTGACCTTTGTTTTTTTCCATTTATTTTTATGTTGGCACGCATTTTCATTTTATTATAATTTAGTCCTTTGTTGAATGTTTTTTTATTTCAAGATTTGACTACTGATATTTATGTTTTTCCATTTTAATCCTGTATTTATGGTTTATTTACGATTCTCGTGCTCCTGTTATGTGATTCTCTTGTTTCATGCCATGATAGTTGTTTTTAGTAATGTTCATAATCTTAAAATTATTTTAATATTTAATTCTTAGGAAAATTATTATATTCATTTTATTTCAGTTGGAAAGAGAAATATTTGTCCTAAAATATTTTAGGGAGTATTTTCTCTTCAATTGGAAATATGAGAATATTTTCTATTTTTCCTTAGAATTTTTGTTTTATAATGTTGTATGGTTGAATTTGGAATAATGGAATCGTGATTTAAATATGTATTCGAATTCTTAGATTTCTACTAATTTGAGATAATATATAATCAAAAGGTGTCAATTTTGGGCGTTGTGGGAGTGTTTATCCTTCCCCACACATAATCGACCCCCGAACCCTTTTTATTACTTAAAAATGAATTTCTGGTTACACGTGGATTGATAAATTTTTTAAATGACGTTTTCCTAAAAACTCTTTTAAAAGAAAATTTTTAGGTATTTAACCAACCTAACTCAAAAGGTCAATGGCGACTCTGAAACATTTCTTTTGCAAAATCAGGTTTTCACAAAATAAGTCAAGACTCGTCGCATCGTCGGAAATCGGTTACGACAGCTTGGCGACTCCGCTGGGGATCTAGAGGGTCAAGCCTTAAATCGATTATATATTGTCTCTATAGTTAGAAATTGATAATTCATTTATATTTAATTTATGATTCCTTTGATTCCTTTCAATTGTTATTTAATATCTTAGTATACTAATGTGTGCATTCGATTGATTTTCAGATATTAAAGTCTTTGATTTGCTTTAGTTTGTTTTTTTGTGATTGTCTGTCAAAGGTTTGATAATTTCTCCTTACACACGACATTTGCATTGCATAACATAAGCTCTATACCCGAGCTCTTCCTTTTAAGTGGGAGTGAAAGCGACGTCTTCGTGAGAATTTATTCTCTGTGTTAGACCTAGCAAGTAGCTTTCGGGGTTTATATATCTTATGTCTTCATGAGGATTTATTCTCTGTATAAGACATAGGGAAATGTGCCCCCTCAAATTGAACTCGATTCGCTTATTCGCTTAAGCCTATAATGTGTGAGGATCGAGGGTTTGACAGGCCAAGGGGGCACCAACATCAAGGACAATTCGAGTACATTTTCCTCATAGAGCCGAAACCATGCATATAGTGAACCGTAGCATGGTCACCGTAGGTATAGTCATACCGAACCTCTGTTCGTCAGTAGGTACCCAAATTAAGTGTACACAAAGGATGAGTGTTTTTGAACCTTTACCTTTTTGCTTTATGTTCGTAGAATATATTTGCTTTTTTTTCCCGAATAACAGCATGTGAACTAGATACCATGCAGTTAGGATTAATTTCATGAATAATCATTGTGGGTAAAAAGCATGTTCGGGTAGAAATGTTATTTAATTAAAGCATGTTTGGGTAGATATCATGATTGGGTAGGTGTTTTATTCCTCTTTGAATAACATTTTTAATTGTATTAATTATCTTACCTGTACTAACTAATTTCTTTTGTTTTGTTTGTGTATACTAACTTATTTCTTTTGTTTGTGTCATTTTCATCTTCATTTGCATTGTATTGCATTGCATCAACATAACATAATACAAAGTATTGATTTACAAGGGGATATTCAAGTGAAAATTTTGCACAATAAGAGTTAAAAAAAATTCAATTAAGTAGTCGCATACACAGACATGCGCCGAGGGATAATAGAAGTCCAGAATACCAGAATAAGACTTGTTCGAAGATCGTGCAACATTTGAGATTGGAAAGCTGATCCTTTGATCCAAGAAAGTATTGAGGGGCATCAATTCCAAAGATGAAGATCCAAGACGAAGCAATGAGCTCGAAGATCGTGCAGCATTCGAGACTAAAATAATGAATCCACTGACCCGATGAGTAATCCAGCAGTGGAGTCTTATCTACAATCATCTCATCGCTTACCACCAAAGAATAACACACTAGTTTCAACATTGTCGAGGCATTAACGGAGTTAGTTTACATAGCATTGAGGGGCATCAGTTCCAAATATGAAGATCTGAGATGAAGTAGTGAGTTCAAAGATCATGCAACATTCGAGATCGAAATGACGATCCATCGACCTGAGGAGAAATCCAACAGTAGATTCTCATCTACGATCATCTCATCGCTAGTTATCAAGGAGCGACGCACTGGTTTCAGCACCGTTGAGACATTATAAAGAGCATTGAGGGGCATTTTCAAGGACGAAGGTCCAAGATGAAGCGGTGATCCACTTCAAACTCAATATCTAATCGAAGGCATGTCTGTAAAGTGGACTGTCTTGTAATGTGAAAGCT